ACAGAGGTAACAACATCAGAGCTGTCCGGTTTATGATTGTGGTCTATGGGGAAAATTCTTTGTGGGACAACAGGGGATTTTATTTGCTCCAACACACTGATATATACATTCTCTATTAGGTTAACAAAACCCGAAGATAATCCAATTCAGATACCCTCAGAGTTATCCTTAGTATGACTTTTGCACTCATTCTGTGGAATTATACAAGTTACAGGCAATCAAAGTACCTAAGGTGTGCTTTTTAATTTATCATTTCAAAGCACATTTGAGCCCTCATATCTACAAGAGATGGACGCATGAAATTTTTAGAGCCAAATTCATTTTAGCTGCAACCAAATCCATTTTACACACTCCAACTGCCAAAAACCCAGAATCCTGTTTTTGTTAAGCACATTATTTTTTTGAGTAACAATCTTTGAGCATCAGTATGATGGAATATGATGACAGTTTTAATAACAAAGCTGCAGCAATCTGGACACTTTTCATTAGTATTCACTTGAACTTGTACACACTACTACGGTACTGTGTTGGACCCCTTCAGGAACTTCATTCTTCTAAAAAAGTGTTGGAAACATTGACATGATGACTGTACATTTGTCGGCTGCACATCCATGATATCCGTGACATCCCAAAGATGCTCTTCCGAATTGAGATTGGTTTCTGTGGAGGCCATTGTCATGTCCAAGAAACTGGCTTAAGATGATTTAAGCTTTGTGACTTGGTCTTTCATCCTCCTGGAAGAAGTCATCAGAAAGTTCACTGTAGCGTAGATATGATAGCAACGATACTTAGACAGACTGTGGCACTTAAATGATGCTCAGTTGATACTAAGGGCTCCAAAGTGCAAAGAAAACCCCCACAGCATTACATCACCGCCATCAAGGGAGCATAAATCTAGGCTTTTATGTTGTTTACACCAAATTCTGACCCTAGTGTCTGAATATTGCTGAAGAGATTGAGATTAATCAGTTTTTCAGTCTTATATAGTTGAATTTTGATTTGATTTGATATACCTTTATTAGTCCCACAAGGGGAAATTTCATTTCATAAGGCTGCCGACCTATTGCACGAAATGGCGGCGCCATCTTACCCTCCGACCATACATACATTACACAAAACATCACATGGGGAAGACAGGTCAGAGAGGTATAACAATGGAAAATGCACCACATGAGGAAAGATAAGGAGAAACAAATAACTCCCCCCAGACTGAGCTCCAACAAGGAGATCAGTTTGAGAACAGAAAAAAAAAACCTCTGCACATAGCACATGAAAAAACTCTTAATACACCAAAGAAACACATGACAAGCAACAGGGGAGGGTAAAGGGTGAGGGACAGCAGATTTAGACAGTACATCCGGGCCTGCAGCCTGTGCGCTGGCCTCCTTGATCCACCGTCAGCATCGGAAGGGAATAAGCATCGAAGGCGTTTGGAAAGGGAAGGTGGATGAGTGTGCGCATATCAGTGTATATGTATGTGTGCGTGTCCAGAGTTCAGCTGAGACAGTGTCCTTCGCCCTGCTAGGCTAAGTAAACAGTCTTCCAGCCAACCCTAGGTTTTAGAGAACAGACTGTGAGAGAGTGTTCCAGGGAAAAGTAATACAAAAAACACAAGACTAGACAAGGACATAAGAGGCTAAGCAGGGAAGCTAAGGGAGAGGAGGAGGAGGAGAGGGTGACCCTGATGACCCTGTAAAAATTTTAGCCTCAGTTTTTAGTTCTAGTTTTGACATTCTGTGCATTCAGAGGTGCTCTTCTGCATACCTTGGATTTAACAAGTGGTTGTTTGAGATACTGCTGTCCTCCTATCAGCTAAGACCATTTTCCTGAGGCCTTTAACTCAGAAAACTGCTGCTCACTGGATATTTTCTCTTTTGAACCATTCTCTGTAAACTCTACAGAGGTTGTGTGGGGAAAATCCAAGTAGATCAGAAATACTCAGACCAGCTTGTTTGGCACCAACAACCACGTTACGTTCAAAAACAAACTTTCTTTGCAATTCTGGTGCTCTGTTTGAACTACAGGAGGTCATCTTCACCAATCTATACATGTGTAAAAAATGCTTAAAAAGTGCAATTTGTGTTAGATTTCATGGTTCATGTAACCATGTAGGACAAAAACTAGCGACAGCATATGAAAGGGAACCCTTAGAGATGCACGGTGTGCAATACACTGGAATTGCAAGGATGTTGAAAAAAATCTTCAGGATATAAAAGTGTTTCATCAATATGACTATATTACAAAATGATTTTGACAGAGAAAGAATCCCAGTTAGAAGATTGGCCTGGTATGAAAATGTAAAAAGAAGGGAAAAAAAGAAAAAATAGATATTTTTAAAGAAACCTTTCACAGTTACAGTTGTTGTACAAAGAAAACCATCTGATTCTGAGGGTGTCTGGTGGGAGGCACTGATTGATTTTTCAGACACATACACTGTTAAGAAAGGCTCTTTTCTAAAGCTGTTTGTTCAGCATCATCATTAGTCTACCTTTTCATTTTGGCTTCTCACAGTCACAATCAAAAGAGGACATGGACACAATTACAGTGGCTTGCTGTCCCACTGAATCTGTAGCAGACCGCAGAAATGAGATTGCCTAAATGGAGTGCAAAATATGTGTCTCAAAAAAAGAATTTTTAATTGAAAACACACACAAGAAAAAGAGCAGGAACTCCCTAATATTTTCCACCTCCCTCACAAAGGTGTCGAGCAATCAGCAGCAGATTGATCCACAAATTCAGCTGGAGCGCACACATGCACACAGGTGCTGTACAGCTTCTCCCTGCTTAGTCCTTCATCTCTACTCCCTCCAGCTGTGCTTGTTAGACTCTGCCTATCCTTTCTTTTTCCTTCTCTTTCCTTTTTTTGCCTTGTGTATAAGCAAGCCACTGTGGGAGAGTGTATCCTTGTGTGTGACAGAGTGTGCGTGGTCGTGTCAGGAGCTCAAGGCTGCATTTTTCTTCCTGCTTTGGAATAAATTACAAGGAGCTCTTTTCCTCAACCACATCAAATTCCCACAGTCCACACAAGCACACACGCGCGCGCGCCTGTATGCACACACACACACACACAAAAAAAAAATGTATAAATACAAAAGATGACAACATGAATGGAGAGCAAAAGCCGAACATTAAAAAGAAGAAAATGTCAAAGGGAAAAGAAACTGTATATGGTATTTCTTTTTTAATTACTGTGTGTGTGTGTGTGTGTGTGTGTGTGTGTGTGTGTGTGTGTGTGTGTGTGTGTGTGTGTGTGTGTGTGTGTGTGTGTGTGTGTGTGTGTGTGTACCTGAATCCTGAATGTCCTTGCAAGCTGGCTGCGTGTCCTGCTGACGTGTGAGGAGAGTGTGGTAGAAAAGAATATTATGTCCACTATTATCGAAATGTGCTCATCATTTACAACAAATATGAGACAAGAGACAAAACAGATTCACACCTGGTGCCTGTTCTAATTTTTACTGTTAGTTTTCTGGCACGACTTAATGCTTAAATGCTTTAAAAAAACAAAAACAAAAGATAAGTACATGTAGGTCTGAAACAGTTCCTTACTTGGATGTGAAACTAAAGGCAAAAACAAAATATAAAGGCATATGTAGATATCTAGATACCACAGAGACCTGGAACATTCTAATATAACAGAGTCGTTAAACTAATTAACTGAATATTCTGGTTTTAGGTTAAACTCCAAGCATCAGCTACAAGCTTTGCCTTTCATATCAGCTGACTGTCCTGCTTTGTTTTTTGGTGTTGGCACCTGCCAGTACGGAGGAGATGAAGAAGACCATGGAGAAGATTCATTCATGTAGTGAAGGAAGAAATGCAGAGAGTTGGTGTGACAGAGGAGGATGCTAGGAATAGGATGAGATGGAGGCAGATGACCTGTTGTGGCAACCCCTAAAGGGGGCAGCTGAAATAAGAAGAAGAAGAACAACCAAGAGGACTGTGCAGCTGAAACTAAACTAAAGAAGCTTTTTGTAAGCCTACTTGTAACCAGTAATGATGTAAGGATATTCATCTATACACTAACAGACACTTTATTAGATACAACTGGCTGGTACTGCCTCAATTCTTTGTTGCATAGATTCATCAAGGTACTGGAGTAACTTCTATGTGATTGCATGATTACATATCTGCTTTACACAAACTCTCAAGCAGGTATACATAATAAAGTGGCCACTTATGACCAAATGCCGAAAGGCAAAATCGAGTAACCTGAGATTAGACTCCGACCGAAGGCTCTTTGCTACATGTCTTTTGCCACTCTTTCTATTTCTCCCTACTTTACTGTCGCCTCTTTACTGCACTATATAATAACAAGTGAGTGTCTGACGAGTGTATAAGGTACTGCATATTTGGCAGCAAGAGTGTTTTTAAGAAAAGCTGTCGTAACGTGCACTGAAGCTTTTTAGGCAGGACCAGATGACTCAAAGGAAAACTGAAATTTCCATCTGCAGTCATTAATATTTGTGGCACTCTTCTGTTCAGGAACCTGAACGCTTTTCCATGCGTATACATGAAAAGCCAGGGGTGGCAAGAGGAGCAACAAAACCTCAACACAGATGAGCGCAGGCACTCAGGGAAACAGGGATGATAAGTCAGATGCAGAAAATATACAATGAAGTGGTGTAGAGTTGGGTTGCACAGAAGCTTGCAGATGCACGACAGCCAACAATGAGGTTAAATATTATTTTTTTGATCTTATTAAAGGGATCTTTACCTACATTTGACATAATAGGACAGGAAAAAGAAAATACACATTCACAGAAGGAAGAGGACTGCACAGTTTTTCACAGCGCATCACTACACTTATTCTTCTCTTGCAGTCTCAGCTCATAGAACACCAGTCATTTATATCTTATCAAGACGTATGCTCTGTTCTGGAAGTTGTTACACAGTAGAAAAACACACATAACTCCACCCAGCTGAGACCTCCTACATCCTCATACTCCCATGAGCTTTTCACACGCCCCCAGCATTCACTACTGCATGACAGAAAACACCAAAACACCTCACATTTCTCTCTAACTGACCTGGCGCTGAACCCCCGAGCGGACAGACAGGTAAAAGCGTTCATATCAAATGTGGAGCGTGGACCAGAGACAATATCAGAGTAAAAGACACAAAAAGAAGACAAACTAGAAAAGTGAAACCACTCTGTGGACCCTGGCAGACTGAAGTGATGTTGGTAATGACACTAATGATGCTGCTGATCGTTACGATAAAGACGGCAGCAGCCTCGGCGCGCGGCTCTGAAATGGACATTAGACCTGGATTTCATCCCAGTTTGGCCAAACAAACCTCGTGCCCGTCTTGCCAGGTCATGTTTGGAGTCACGGCGTTTCCCTCCAACATCTCCAGCGCCCAGTGCCTGTGAGTACACACAAACACACAAGCACACAGAGACTCACACACAAAAGGATCCACTGGTTGTGGATCCAGATGTTTACTTTTTTTGCCATCATTGTTAGATTATATTAAGCTACCATGCCTAATCATCATCAATGTAACATTATAATACAGCGCTGTGCGGAATGAAACTTTACTGTATGATACTGTCAGCTGTTTGTTATTTTTCTTTGTGTTTCATCCTGATTTTAAAGAAGCACACTATTCATTTAAATGAATTAAATTAATGTGATGTAATATTTAAAGTGTAACACTGCTAGAGTGGTGAAAAATTCATATAAATCCCCTGAAAATTAGAAAAGCCCATAGAAAGCCTTCAATGGAGTGTCACACATGTTAATAGATTTTATTCCCCATTCTGTTTACTGTTTTTAAGGAGATGTATGTACCAGTTTTCCTCGGATTACATTATTCCCCCTCCCCTCTAAATGAAGTCTACCTATCACCTGATCACCATTCTTTTCTGGTAATTGTTTGCAGGCAGTATTTGATAGCATGCTTACACTTTTCTTTCTTTGAGACTCACAAGAGCTAGAAAAACTAAGGAATAGTCAAGTCCAAACCAGCAGAGCCAAAAAGATACCTTTCTGTCTTTACCAAGCTTTACTAAATACATGATCCCAGATATTCAATAATGCAGCTTAAAAGTTTTTCATTCCTTTTTGAGTACCCGCATCTCTCACGCTCCACACATTAAGTTTAAAATAGACCCAGTGATGTAATTCGAGTTTTTTTTTCTTTCTGTAGCTTGAAAGTTTGCTTTCAAGAAAGCCTGAAACTTTAAACCTGAACAACCACAAAGTACATAAATTATAGCTTCTGCTGTTTTGTAGTCTGAGCTGATTTCCTTATGTGGAGCAACTTTAATTTGTATAATTGGCGACATCCCTCAAACTGACATGCGAGTGGAGCAGCAAATGTGTCTATAAATCCCACCACCCATTCACCATATTAAAGCTATACAGTAGCTATGAAATGTTTACAAATTTGAATCTCATCCGTGAACGTGCATAATCATCCGGACGTTCCTGTCTAATCCTCGCTCATCTGCCTGGACGAGTGGTTCAGTTTTGCTCTCAACTTGACTCGGTTGGTTTCATTAAACATTTAGTGATTCGGGGAAATGCATGCAAAGTTTTTCTGCTCATCCTCGGCACCTTGTAGCGCAGCAGCAGCTACTTACTATTGTTGGCCACTGAGCAGGTAGCCACAGGTTAAAGACCCCCCGCTGAGTTTTCTTGTAAACAAACAAAATGAAGGGTTTAAAAGTCAGAGCTTCCCACCAGGACAGTCTGGGTTATGAGCTTGCAGTCTTTTTCTTTTTCTTATGCTACTTTGTGTGTTACTGTTATCAATCAGCAGAATACAGGATGAAACTGTCGAAGGATTGCGCATTGTGTTGTCTGCACTATAACACGATGATTTCCTTAGCTGTTGCCCAGTTATGATAAAGTCCTGTTTGTACATTTTTTTTAATACAGATTAAGCAATCAAGACATTCATTCATGATTTTGGTACCAGGAAAATGAGCAAAGTTCCCATCTTTAGTGTAGAGAAATCCAAGCCTCAGGTAAAGTTAGGGCTATGCGATATGACCAAAATCTCATATCCCGATATAAGAATTCTATCGTCCGATAACGATATAAATCACAAAAATGTAACATTTTCTGTAAATTCTGTGAATCTCGGGCAACTCGACTTGCGTGAAGTGTTCCAGCTGTGCGTCATGTAGCTGGAGTCGAGTGTTTTAACCGATGCATGAAACTATACATTTTTAGACATAAATTGTAAAGGCCACAGTTTTCTTTGTGAGTATTGCGGGGAAAAGCCTGTTCTAATGTTTGAGTCTAAGGTTTATTTTTTAGGACCTGGCAGCTCTTTTTTAATTCTCATCTGTAAATAATCTGCTCTTTCACGTGATTCAGTTTATTTTGAAAAGTCTCAACAGGATCTTGAGCTTTATTGTGAAAGGTTTATGTGGAACATAAACAAGCGGACACGCGATGCTGTTACAGTCGTTGTTGCTAACCACAACAAATAAAAACAGGCGCTTGTCCGTCCCTGTGGTTATATAAAATATAAGAGAAAGAGAGAACTTTAAGAAATTAATATAGCCACTACAGTGACCATCAAAACGATGAAAAAATATTGCCGTAAACAGTTTATTTTACAACACCACGAAACAAACGATAGCGTAAAATGAAACTTAGACGTTTTTATATCGTCATCCGATATATATCGTTATATCAAACAGCCCTAGGTAAAGTTATTTCTACTTTCATAGTGTCACTTTAACCTGTAGTGCTTGATTAAAGGTGACATGATTGATTTAGGTGTCTCATGCAGATCTGAGGGTGATGCCACTCATAGTAAACAGTGACCTTTTGCTTTGGCTGCTTAAACATTTGCAAAGAATCTCAAGGCCTTCCAGAGAAAGAGACAGGGTGAGGTTAAGATTAGAATCACCCTAAGCATTTATTCAAACTTCTATCGAAACGTACACACGAGCAGTTTCTCCTTACACAATCTATCTTTCCAAAAAAACAGAACAAAAAAACATAGCCTATGAGTAAATACAGCTGACACACACTCAAGACAAGGACACACTTGTGGCAGAAGAAGCAAACATCCCTAGAGATGCGCTGCGATCTCCCAGGAGGCCATGCGTGTGTTCTCTTCTGCTCTATATTTTGCTCGAAGGTCAAGGCTCGGGAACAGTGGGGATATTTGCAAGTATGCAGTAAGTATGCTGCAAGTATGCAAGACCACATGCAAAGAGCTTGGGAACTCGTGTAGACTTTCTTCACATATATTTTGTTTCACACATGAAAAGAAAAAAAATCTCATCGTGACTGAGTAACTGACCTTCTTCATTGGTCAGTGTGCACACAAAGCCCCTGCGAGCCTTGTGATCAGTGTGAAGTGCTGAAACCTGATGTGAGTGGCTGTTTCTGCATCAACAGGGAAGTTAAGCAGACGCAGATCAGAGAGATTCAGCAGGGCGCCTTCTCCAGCCTCCAGCACCTAATGGAACTGTAAGTGTGCGCCTGTCGATTATGTTTGTTCTTCGATGCGGAGCATAATGTGCTGAGGAGGTCAAAACACACGAGATATGGATCATCCAAACAGACGGGGAATAATTCAGTTGCATTCCTGGTAACACAGCCAGGAATGCCACTGTATTCATTCAATAAAACAATTGATCTCCATATTGGGGATCAATTTTTTTTTATTGAATGAATAAAATCACTTTGGTCCACATTCATATTTAACAAGAGCTGGAGTTATAGATATTGATTTTGTACTCATGTGACAATTTGTACACGGTGCCAATTACGTTATCACTTTGCTTTCTACATAAATATATTTCTACAATAAACTTTTATAATTAGCAAACAGTGATTTCAAATTAAATTGTTCTTTTTTTCTGCTGCTATGAATCATTTTAATTAGTAGTGATTAAAATATTGCTCAAGCAAGGATCAGTTGTTCAGCTTCAAAAGTGAAAATAGTTGCAGGTGCTGACTCTTACATGTTAAAGTGTAAAAGAAAGCAATCACAAGCTAAAAAATGGGCAAATGTTTGATAATAGATTGAACTTTTTAGTTGCCTCTGTTGTGATTTTCATGATTCATCTGCAGAGTTTATTTAAGGGACTTATTGATTTTAAAACCATAGGAATTGCAAATAGAAACTGTGTTTTGCACATATATTTAACCAGGGTGTGTCCTACACCCAAAGTTTGTTTTTATTTTTTAATAACTTTACAGGAAAAATCCAAGGATTCTGTCTGATTTGAGACATCGATTACAAAAACCCCTCCTATAATAACTTTTAAATTCTTTACTTCTTCTTTTACTCATCATTACTGCCAACTACAGGACCATATCTGAGAACGACATGCTGGAGAGTTTCGGTGCTTTTGCCTTTTCTGGCCTCCCTCAGCTCACCAAAATGTGAGTATACTGATTACTAAAAGCCGCTGACTGCATAAAGCAGATTTTATCCTACATGTTTGTGTTTAGTCTTTGTAATGGAACATGAAGAGCTCCGGCCTCTGAGGAAGATCACCCAAATAATTGAGAAGTTAAGCATCCGAGGGGTGGCGGAGACAAAAAAAGACTCCAAAGAATGAGTGTGAATGAATAATAGACCACATGATTTTTTTAAATATATTTCATATTCGTGTGTTTCCCTCAGTTTAATATCTAAAAATGCTGCTCTGAGGAATATCGGGGCTTTTGCTTTCTCCGACCTCCCTGAACTCAGTGAGATGTAAGTATAACTGGCAGGATAATAGCACCTGTGAAACCCCATAATTGCAAACCAGTCATTTATATTAATGAGAATCTGACTGAAATATGTTTCTTTCAGAATCATAACAAAGTCAAAACACCTGAGTTCCATCCACCCCGATGCATTCAGGAACATGGCAAGACTACGGTTCTTGTGAGTACTCAGTGAGAGTTCACATTTCTACCACAGTTTGTCTCTCAAAACTGATTGTGAGTCCAAAATAGGTCACGGGTGACAGCCCTACTTCTGATGGCCCGCATGATCGAAGACATTATTTTTTAATGAGCTTGGCTCCCCGGTGTCACCCTTCATCCCCAACATGGGGGGGGAAAAGTCTTTTTTTTCCACAAAATGACTTAAAGGCCATTTCATGACTGCTACTTTAATTTGTTGCAAACAAAAAAAGTCTTATTTTATGTCTTTTGAAACAATCTCAAAGTAGCAGTTTATAAAGAACACTGCAGCGCTCAAATCCCTTACAGACATTCTTAACTGTTACTGTTTGTCCCAATTTGTGAAAACTGGGACACATAAACAGAAATCTGTGACAAAAAAGAATAAAGCGATTGCTTTTTTAAAGAGGGCCACCTTAGTGCAAGTTTAGTTTGTTTTCAAATAGTTTACTTGGGGGTCGTGGGGATGTTATTATTCTTGTTTCCGGCTTTGCAAAAATTTGTAGTTCAAAATACTCCTTATTCATCTTATGCAGCCTATGGAAATAATCCATTTCATCTATGAGCAGGTGGGTGAGGCTCTAGACCAGGGGTCCCCAAACCCAGTCCACGAGGGCCGGTGTCCCTGCAGGTTTTAGATGTGTCCTTGATCCATCACAGCTGATTTAAATGGATAAATTACCTCCTCAGCATGTCTTGCAGTTCTCCAGAGGCCTGGTAATGAACTAATCATGTGATTCAGGTGTGTTGACCCAGGGTAAGATCTAAAACCTGCAGGGACACTGGCCCTCATGGACTGGGATTGGGGACCCCTGCTTTAGACTTAGAGCCAGACCTGTGTAAGAGGATTATAATAGGAATTCTGGCCCTCTTTAACATCACACAGAGCCAAAAGTAGAAAAAAACTGTCAGAGCAGCCTGAGGCCTGAGCTTTTGGCTCACAGGTATTACTTGACTATATGAAAGGTCCTGGGATTGAAATTGTACACCGGTTGATGGGTGATTTTAAAAGATTTTAAATTGGCTGTATTGGCGCCTACACCTGATTTAGAATATTTTAAATGGCTGATCCTGTTTCCTGATCCACTAAAGGAAACACGAGAAATCAAATCAGAAGTCACTGACTGACAATCAAAGACAAAGACCAAGGAAACACTACATATACATAAACACACACACACAGATAGGGGTAACAGCTGGTTTCCAGTTGGTTATTAAACAGATGAAAACAATCAGACAGTCTGATGACTGAATGGCAAACAATCACAAAAAGAGGTAAAAGTAGGAAGTAAAACCAAACATAAAACAGGATGTAAACAAGAGACAATTAGACATGAGGGCTACGACTAAACGTGATAACAGCAACAGCAACCCTAACCCACAAATATAGCAGGGACCGAAACACAACAAATGGCCTACATTACAAAAACACGTTGGACCTCATTGGTAAACGGTGCCTATGCACCAATCTGTGCATAAACCATGAATATGAATATTTCATGCACAAATCTGTGATTCATCGTAGCCCGAACCCTAACCTTTAATCCAGGAGTTCTCAAACTTTAAAGGGTCTTCATAATGTTGACATCCAATTAGCTGGTTCAGACTTAAAATCACTTATCAACATGGAGTGACTCAGAGATATATTTAGTATAATTAGCTACCTGGCTGGTTAATAAGCCAGGCTACTCAGCAGTTGTAGCTCAGCGCCCCCTGAGAGGAGCAAATGTTTTCATGACAGACTGATGTGAAGTGTCACAATTATATCAGAGGTTCTGCAGTGAAAATGTGGGAGGAAGCAATGGATACGTTACACTTTTGTTATTAGTAGAAAGTTTCTCCATTAGTATACATGTCTCTTTCAAGGAGCAAGACTTTATTGTAATTCTTTAAAGTTATCTTGAGCAAAAGTTCTCCAGGCTTTCTGAAGTTTTTCTTTAGACACTGTTTGCTTTTTTTAGTCATTTTTATTCCACCTGACCATTTTCAGAGGAATGGGTTTTTGTTTTGTTTTTTTTGTTTGCTTGTTTTGTAAGTCACGTAATGCTAAAATATGAATCATAAGCATGAAAAATTCACCTAACTTGGGGGAGAAACTAGAGTTGTATTTTTAGGCAATTTGTTACTAGCTGCCACAAAAACACATAATTTGTCCCCATTTTTATTACTGAATTTTTTAAAAATGCCAATGATAGCACACAGAGCAACGAACATAAAATGGCATTTTTGCACCAACAATGAGATTCCCGAGAATCGTCTTTAAGTTATGTTAGGATGGCAGACACATCAGACATCAGTATGTCTTTGTTATTTTTTAATCTAATTTATTACAATGGATGAGACAGTGTATGTGATTTTATCACTGCTACTCCCTGCTTAGTGTCTGCTTTTCAGAGGTTACAATTTAGTAACATGTTCTGGTTAAACCTTTACTTTTACATCACAGGACTATCTCCAACACCGGGCTCAGGATTTTTCCAGACTTCTCCAAGATCCATTCCACCGCCTGCTTTCTGCTGTAGGTCTCAGTACAATTACAAAAAACGATCTCATATACACGCCTCCACATGTGAATTTATAGGCTATTATATGCATACAGAATTAAATACTCCCATAAGAAATCACACCACTAATCATATATTACTGCAGTAAGAATTCAGCAGTTCTTACCAAACAGACTATCAGGAACACGCACCATCTGTCCCTAGCCGTCATCCTTTAAAAATCCATATTCAAATTGTCTCCCAACTGACATCTGTCATCTTCAAAAAGACAGTGGATTAGACAGGCACTGCTGAAGGCTTCCTAATGTTTTACACCTTCTGCTGTTTTGGGGGGGTTTTCCACTAAAAAATGTATTTCTACCACTTACTTAGCAATAGTGGTCATTTATCTTAAAGTTTTTGTTCTTTGTACTGCTTAGGGATCTTCAGGACAACAGCCACATAAAGAGAGTCCCTGCCAATGCCTTCAGAGGCCTCTGCACTCAAACCATTGCAGAGATGTAAGCGATTCATCTTTCTTTTTTAGAAACACATCACCCTCACAGATCCAAGTGGGCATTACATGCACAGTGATGAATGTTCCACGAAATGCTCTTTGCCCTCTTCACTGAGTTTCTCCTTTTTTCTATGTTTCATACTCATACTTTTATTGCCTTTTATAAATTTTTGTGCTTTCCTTTTCAGCTGCAGATCATTAATCTAACATAAAATTACATTTTTTTGCTTTTTGTATATGTCACAGATTGTTTTCTTTGAAAAAAAAAATGAAAGCATTAGTGTAATTTTGAGATAGCAGTAATTAATTACCTCTATTTAAGGCTTCTTGATGCTTTCACTCAATCATTTTCATCTGTAAAAAAAACTGCTGCTAGTTTAAAAATTAAGATTTTAAATCAACCCACATACTAATAGAGCAATGTTGTACAGAAGAGTGAGCCAAAGGTTCTCCACAATGATGTAAGAGACCGATAAAGTCATACAGAAACAACTTACCAAAGTTATGCTACTCAAGGTGATTCTACAAGCCACCAAATTCTGGGGAGTTTAGTTTTAGTGTTTAATTTTTAACAGGACTTCAGAGAGTCCTACGAAAACTTTGTTAGCAGTCATTTGGTAGGTACAGATCGAAAATTTGAGTTAGCATTAGTTCAACCATGACAGGTTCCAGTAGTGAAGATGCAGCTTAATTGCTAATGAATTATTGATATCAATCCCGTATTACTGAAGCCAGTGTGACCTTTTTGATTTTAAAAACCTTTGCTGACAGCACTACTTTTACTTGTAGCAGTAGTTTAGCTGTTTGTTTAATGTGCCTAAATCACCAGGAGCTTTAGCCAGCAATAGGTTAGCTTAAAAGTTAGCTTAACATAGGAGACAGCAGTGGAGCCACATTTCTGTATAATTTACTGTATAACTTAATTTATAATTTATCTACTAATAAAAATTGTATTTGTTCAGCTCTTGTGGTTTTACAGGGATGATATGTCTGACTATTTCTTGGCTTTAAGTAGCTTATCGGGCAGTCAGGAAGTTACTCTACCTATCCAACAAATAGTCTGGCACATAACCTCGTGTAAAACTGTTTTGATTTGGGGGTTGTTTTTTTTTACACTTTCAAAAAAACAATATAATGTGTTAACTAATGAGTCTTACAGGAGGGAGTAGGTGGATTTTTTAAACCTTTGAATTGTGCCAGGCTAGTTATCATTATTATTATTTCCTTCCAGGCTTTGTACTAAGCTAATTCAGAAAGGGTGGTACCAGTTGAAGGAAATAAATGTCAAATTTGCTTTTACATGTAAAATATGTAAGTATGTATCACTAAATGCCACTCACTCATCATTCCTACAGGAATAAATGCACTCTGCAGTCCCAGTTACCTCTTATGAACTCTGATAACTGGGAATCAAACTGCATAGTCTTCAGCTTATGAAGAGCAAAAAGTCTACTTTAAATTCTGTGTCTGATAAATAAATATTCGTTCAAATTCAAAGCTTCAGGGCCATCATTGGTAGGCTGTGACTCTCTGCACCCAGACTTCAAAGCAAGTTTATTATTCTGTGACTGCGCGGTAAAAAAGCGAACAAAACCATCTTTGTTTGTGCAGCTTTTATCTACAGAACTCGATGTTCTCCAATTCAGTCAGCAGTGCCGGGCTAGTTGTTATTATTAACTTTTTTTCCTACCAGACTTTGTGCTATAGTAATCCAGAAGGCTGCTGGCTGTAAATTAATAGAGATGGATAAAAGGACCATCAGCCAGCAGGCCACAGCCAGGCTCCACCATCAGCCAGCAGGCCACAGCCAGGCTCAGCAGGCCACAGCCAGGCTCCACCATCAGCCAGCAGGCCACAGCCAGGCTCCACCATCAGCCAGCAGGCCACAGCCAGGCTCAGCAGGCCACAGCCAGGCTCCACCATCAGCCAGCAGGCCACAGCCAGGCTCAGCAGGCCACAGCCAGGCTCCACCATCAGCCAGCAGGCCACAGCCAGGCTCCACCATCAGCCAGCAGGCCACAGCCAGGCTCCACCATCAGCCAGCAAGTCACAGCCAGGCTCCACCATCAGCCAGCAGGCCACAGCCAGGCTCCACCATCAGCCAGCAGGCCACAGCCAGGCTCAGCAGGCCACAGCCAGGCTCCACCATCAGCCAGCAGGCCACAGCCAGGCTCCACCATCAGCCAGTAGGCCACAGCCAGGCTCCACCATCAGCCAGCAGGCCACAGCCAGCAGACCCAGCCAGGCTCCACCATCAGCCAGCAGGCCACAGCCAGGCTCCACCATCAGCCAGCAGGCCTAGCCAGGCGCCATCATCAGAAATTCCGCTTCCGGGTCCTTCGTGGTGGCCGCCTCGTGCTCTCGCTTCAGTATGCCACCCAAGAAAGGCCCAACACCAGAGGAGGTTGAGGACATTAAAACCTCCCTCGGAGCGCTGTGCGGAGACGTGGCCGCAGTCAGGGCACAGCAGGAGCTGCTTCTGGGGCTTCTGGAGGAGGTAAAACAGCTACGCCTCCAAAATGCCGAGAAGGACAGACGGATCATGGATCTCGAGCGGCGGGTGGATGAGCTGGAGCAGTACACCCGTACGAACGACGTGGTCATCAGCGGTATTAAAATCAAGCCGCGCTCGTATGCGCACGCGGTGGCCGGGAACGTCGGGGAGCCCAGCGACGAGGAGACCCGCTCGGTGGAGCAACAGGTGGCGTCCTTCCTCCAAAGCAAGGGGATAGAGATGGACCTGGAGCACATAGAAGCATGTCACTCACTGCCCAGGAGGAGTGACAGACTGCCGGCCATCATTATGAGATTTGTCAATCGGAAGAACAAGGTCGCACTGCTGAAACAAGGACGCAAACTGAAAGGCACGGACGTTTTCATTAATGAGCATCTGACACGAAAAAACGCAGACATCGCGAGGAAGGCAAGGCAACTGAAGAAGAACGGTAAAATACAACATACATGGGTAACAAACTGTAAGATTTTCATTAAGCTAAACGGGACACCAGAAGAGGCAAAAGTACTGATAGTGAGGAACATGGAGGATCTGGACAAGTATAACTGACACCAATGTATCAATTACACCAGGAAATGACATGGACACGTTGAAATTAGTTCTTCAACAGAAAGTAATTGATCTAGATTGTGAATATAAGGAGCATAATATAATAGATCCAGAAATAGATTCTGAAAGTAACTTTCTCTCTTCTTTTGTTAAAAATTGTAATTATTTCACTCAGGAACAATATGAAAAAGAAATTAACCTAGACGGGAAGCTCTCATTAATTCACTTTAACAGCAGAAGTATGTACTCTAATTTTGATTTCATTAAGGACTATTTGCAACAATTTTCTCGCCCCTTTAGTATTATTGTCATGAATCGCTGTGTGGCAGGCAAGCAGGAGTGGTGGACCCAAAATGCAGAACTCAGACACGGAAGTGAAACTTAAGGCGCAGCTTTATTGCTGGGAAAAACCTCGTACAAACTAAACTCACCAAAAGAAAACCAAAAGTCAGAACAGAGGAACCAAGGACTGAAACACTGGAAAGAAACACTAAACTGGAGCAGGAGACCAAACACTAGGAACATAGAAGCAGAACACACAGCTAGTTGAGGGTACGACGCGACACCGAGTAGGGGAAGACACAGACACTAAATACAAGAGGTGAACGGAGCAAAGAGGAAACAGCTGGGAGACACGGCTGACGTTGATTACACTGACGAGACAGGGAGAGCACAAAGCTGAACGCACTGACAAAGGACACAGACCTACAAAATAAGACAGGAAGCACACGCCAGACAGAGACAGACTCGTAAACAGGCATAATGACGTCATGGACAAACAGAGGGACATACGGGCAGAGAAGACCAAGCACAGGCAACCTAAACCAAACATAATCATCATCGTCATCAACATCATCATCATCAGATAACTAAAGAATCAGAATATAATTGTAATCAAAACAGTATCACCAGAGAATAACCAATCCATAATGCAAAAATAAACCAAAACATAAGAAGCTCAAAATGCTGGGTCGACCCGACCCAGGACCGTGACAATTATAGCCATCACTGAAACTTGGTTCAATGTCGATAAAGGAATAGATTTTTGTTTGAATGGATATGATTTAAAATACATGAATAGATTAAATAAGGCGGGCGGCGGGGTTGCTATATATGTTCATAACTCTATAAAATATAATGTTGTAACAACTATGTCTATGGCTATTGATGGAATTTTGGAATGTTTGACTATTGAGATTATGAATGAAAAAAAGAGAAATGTTATAATAAGTTGCATATATCGGACACCCAGTTCAAGTATTGACACTTTTAATGAATGGATAGAAAAAACGTTTGCTTCGGTGAACCAAAACTTACTATTTATCTGTGGTGATTTTAACATTGATTTGCTAAATCCAACAAGGTTAAAAGCCATTGATGACTTTACTGACACAATGTACAGCTTATCACTATATCCAACAATAACAAAGCCAAGCAGAATAACATCACATAGCGCCACTATTATTGACAATATTTTTACTAATGTCATGGATTTCCAAATTAATAGTGGCCTGCTTGTCTGTGATATAACTGACCACTTACCAGTTTTTACTTTGTGTGACTGTGATTTAAAAAAAATAGATACCAAGATCATGATAGCAAAGCGAACAATAAATGAAGAAGCAATTCATGCCTTCAATTTCGATTTAGCACAACAAGATTGGAGTTCGGTGTATGAAGAGTCAGATGTGGACAAGGCTTATGATAATTTTCTAGATATTTTTACTATGTGGTACAATAAACATTGTCCTGTAAACGAACACATGACAAAGAAAAAAAAGATAAAAAGTCCTTGGCTCACAAAAGGAATTATTAATGCTTGCAAAAAGAAAAACAATCTGTATAAACAGTTTATCAAAGTAAAAACAAAAGAAGTGGAACAAAGATATAAAGCATATAGAAATAAATTGACTGATATTATAAGAACGAGCAAACAACTTTATTATAGAAGAAGATTATATGAAAATAAAAACAATATAAAAGGAACTTGGGATGTGTTAAACAACTTAATTAAACAGGGATCTTCTGGAACATCATATCCTGAATATTTTACTGATGCAAATGGTGAAAATCACAACATGAGTAATATTGTCGATGGGTTCAATAAATTCTTCATAAATGTTGGCCCTGAACTAGCAGCGGACATCCCGTGTCATAAAAATGAAAATATCAGTAATATAAAATCAAATCCCTTTTCACTGTTCCTCTCAGCTACAAATGAGCAAGAAGTAATAAATATCACATTAAAATGTAAAAGTAAGTCTTCAATGGATTATCATGACATAAATATGTCTGTAGTTAAACAGGTTATTCTGAATATTGCTAGTCCCTTAACATATATCGGTAATTTATCATTTCAGTCCGGTTGTTTTCCAAAAAAAATGAAAATTGCGAAAGTAATACCACTATATAAAAGTAATGACAAACACAGTTTTACCAATTATAGGCCTATTTCTCTACTGCCTCAATTCTCAAAAGTTCTAGAAAAACTTTTTAATTCAAGATTAGAAAAATTCCTTGAAAAACATCAAATAATAAATGTTGGTCAGTATGGTTTCAGAACGCAAAGAACCACTTCAATGGCGATAATTGAGGCAGTAGAAGAAATTACTGATACACTGGATAAAAATAAATATGCAGTTGGTATTTTTGTTGACCTCAAAAAGGCCTTCGACACAATCAATCACTCAATTTTACTGGATAAATTGGAAAGATATGGTATTCGAGGGAAAGCTGGTAACTGGTTAAAAAGTTACCTAACGGGTCGGGAACAATATGTTAGCATAGGGCATTACCATTCAGAGAAACTTGGTATTACATGTGGTGTTCCCCAAGGGTCAGTGTTGGGACCAAAACTTTTCAATGTATACATAAATGATATTTTTGATGTTTCTCAAGTACTTAAACTCATACTGTTCGCAGATGACACCAACATATTTTTCAGTAGCGATGATTATACTGATCTTGTAATGACCGTAAACAGGGAGCTACAATTAATAAAAAAATGGATGGACATAAATAAATTATCATTAAATATAAATAAAACTAAAGCAATGTTTTTTGGTAATTTAAAATATAATATAGAATTACCAATTATCATTGAAGGTGTACCAATTGATAATGTGAGTGAAAACAAATTTTTGGGAGTTATAATTGATAACAAAATTTCATGGAAACCCCACGTCAGACACATAAAAACCAAAATTTCTAGAAGCCTCGCAGTTTTGAACAAAGTGAAACAATTCCTTGATAAAGATGCACTTCGTACTCTGTACTGTACCCTGGTTCTTCCATATCTTACATATTGTGTGGAAGTGTGGGGAAATACATATAAAAATACAACTAATCCATTAGTCACAGTACAGAAACGAGCACTGCGTATTATTCACAAGGCTGGTTATCTAGATCATACTCACAAATTCTTTCTTCAGGCAAAGTTACTTAAATTCCAGGATCTGGTTAATTACAATACATCCATAATTTTTTATAAAGCTTTTACTAAACTTTTACCGGCAAATTTACAAACTAGATTTGAAATTCGAGAAAAGGTTTATAATGTGAGAGGCTTTGGAGAATTCAAATTACCCAGAACTCGAACAACCCGTAAAGGCTTTTGCGTGTCTGTATGTGGTGTGAAAATCTGGAACAGTCTGAGTTTACAATTGAAACAATGCAAAAATATTCATAGATTTAAATTTCTCTACAAACAGTTGGTCTGGTCACAGTATACTCAATGATGGGTTTTAGTGTGCTCTGTAATGTCTGTCCTCTTACCATTGCTGGTATGGATTCCAAAATAAAAAAAAAATAAATAAAGTGTGCGTATGTATGTACATATATGTACTTGTGTGTGTAGATATATATGTATGTATATGTATGTGTGTTTGTTACTTGTAGTTATTACTGCCTGTTACCTGTGGTAATGCAATTTATAATTTATATATTCTGTATTCAGTTATGAAGGCTCTAATTGTTGGTTGCGAGCTGCCGCTTAGATGCTTGTATGTGCCCGGGGCTGTTGATGGGTCTGTATGCAATGATGGGCGTAGCTGCGGGAAGTTTATTGTTTTTTTTGTTGATGAGTGAGTATAGGGGTGGGATTTAATAAGTTTTCTTCGTCCCACTCCTTTTTCAGGCAATTTTTGTTTTTTGTTTTGTGTATTTTATGTTCAATATAGGTATTTGTTGTGCCTGAAAATGAATAAATAAATGAAAAAAAAATGAAATGAATCAGCACTCAGCAAGAAGAAGCTGGATTTTTTTTCCATAAATGCAGGATCCTTCCAACAAAACATTTTGATGGCAGCGTCTGAGATCCATACTGTTAAATACAGAAGAAAAGTAGGAAGCAGAAGAGGCAGTAGAAGGCGACACAATCATATCAACGCTTTACTCAGTGTTGCACTAAAACTCTTTGTATTTGTACAGCTTTACTCACTGAGAACAAAAGAAGTGCAAACACTAAAATTGGCATTGATAGCTAAGTAAGTTTACAGTTGGAAATGTTCTGTGTTGGAGCCACATGACTGTAATTTGGCTTCCCTTTCTAATGACAGACGGCTCACCAGAAATGGCATCAAGGAGGTGGCAAGTGACGCCTTCAACGGAACAAAGATGCACAGATTGTGAGTCACAGGCAGAGACACAATTACAAACAGAAGATTTAAAAAAAAAACATACACATTTAACTCCACTCTCTCTTTCTCCCTTGCTCTCAGGTTCCTAAGAGGCAACCGACAGCTTACTCACATCAGTCCCAGTGCCTTTGTGGGTTCCAGTGAGTTGGTGGTACTGTAAGCATGACATTCAACAGTAACTCATGCCTAAATGATTCACCCTGCTCATCATACCTTATTAAAGTCAGAATGTTGGAGAAAGCAGGGGGTGGGAGATGATATCTGCACAGACTTGGAAAATCTTTACAGATCTAAGATTAAAAATAGTTTAGGGTCAGGTGAACATGATGGACTCTACCTGGAAATAGAGATTTCTGTTTATTCCCCTAACAAAGAGACATGTCTACTGAAGTAAGAATCAGACAAATTATTTGTTATTCTTTTGGACTATCATCACTGTGATGTTTTTTTTCCTTCACTCCCTGGCAGTCACTTGGCAATCAAACAGTAGCTTCTCTTCAGCTTCTTTCTTTTCTTTTTTTTTTATTCAGCTGGCACTTCTCTTAAATCCAAGTGCATTTCATGAAAATTTATATTTTATGAACTGATCAAATCTCTATTACAGACAGCACACTAAGGGGAAGAGAAGAATCTGTTAAAAAGGCAGTTCACCCCTAAATTAAATTAATGCATTTTTCCTCTGGGCTGTGGTGACATTTATCCATCTAGATTGTTTTGGTGTGGGTTTCCCAGCTTTGGAGATATTAGCTGTAGAACTGTTTGCCTTCACTTACATGTGACAGAACTGAAAGACACTTGCCTTGCGGTGCTTAAACCATAAAAAATATTATAGTACTGTGCAGAAATCTTATATTTTAGAGTGAAAATTGTAAATGGATGCAGCGATTCTTTAAAACAGTGTAGAACGCAAGTGAGAGAGAGTTTGTCCTGACCTAACCCGCACACTGTGATAACGATTTGCACCAGAAATTTCACCTTCAGATTCATCACTCCATAAGACCCATCCACACTGATTTTCAGTCCAGTTCTTGTGTAATCTGGCATGCCTCAGCCTTTTCTTCCTGTTTTGCTTCCTTAAGAAGGGCTTCTTGACAGCCATCCTTTCACTGAGAGCATTTCTCATGAGCCTTCAGTGAACAGCAGATGGATAAGCTGAAGGGCCTGATGCGTCTCTCAGGCCCTGTGTCACGTCTTTGCTGGATTTTTTTCCTCCCATTTCTTATGGACAGGAAGTTCAAATGTTGTTGTTTATCTGCTGTCGATAGTTTTAGGGGCTGCTACTTCTTCTTTTCTCCTCCACTTGTCCAGTTTCCCTCATTTTTCAACACATTGAACACAATAACATGATTTGCCAAGCTTTTGGCTAACAGCTCTTAGGGAATCACCTTGGCTAAAAAAAATGTATTTTATGCCTGTCAAACTGCGGTATTATTTTAGTATTTCTGGTATATTCAGTTGAAGAAATTGGAACAAAAGATGTGTTTCTGTGACAGGCTGCTTGTAACAAAGTGCCTAAAGATACAATTTAGAACTGGTTCTTCGCTGAGATTTTTGTTATGTATAGACACGGCACTAGTTAATCACTTGAGTTAGGTGCTATTTTTATGCTTGAATGATTCATAGCTGAGTGTTCAGTAGTTGAACAAAACAACCCAAGTTTCCTTGTGAAAATGGTAAGTTTCGAGGATCGGACTGAAACTGAGTGAAAAAGCAGCCAATGTCCAAAGAAAGACTGAAAGTCCTTCTGAAAGCCTGGAAACTTGTTGCTGAAGACCACTCTGTAAAAATTTTAAGACACCAGGAGACGAAATCGTAAATGCAGTGGCACGAGTTAAAATTCAACTCAAGGCCCTTTGTCGCATGTTTTCTCCTACTCTCTCTCCTAGCTTTGGTGTCCAATAAAGGCAGAAAAAGGCTTAAAAATACCAAGAAAAAATGTCTCTTTCCCAAAACATGGCCAGGTTACTCAACAACAAAAACATATTGACAAAGCTTCCTGTGAGCAGGAGGAACTGTTTGCTTTCTGCTGCTTCCATTACAGCTCAATCGTGAATGGAGGCCATTAAGGTTTATCATTATGTCTTATAATGTGAACATGCCCCTCATTACAGGGAAATCCCATCTTCCACCAGGTGATAAGGCCTTTATGTAAGTTCCCCAAAGAAGATCCACTCTCTTATGTTATGTCTTATTTCTTCTTGGTTATCTCTGCCAGGACCTACTCTTTAAAGTCCTTGTGATATGTTAATTTCCCTTTCAGGCCATGTCAACCTTGCGTAGGTTATCTAGGGCATTTTATCCATCTCCTCCACCACCAACCTTTGAACTCTTGGGGGGCAGTCACTATTTTCTATGTTCATCAGTTGAGCTCTGGTTTTTGAGATGTGGTCTTTGAGTAGAGTAGAAAGAAAACAAGGTTTGTTGAGTTTTTAAAAGTTTGTTTGTAGACAATTTAACTACCTCAAAGAAAGACTCTATTATGTTCGAGAAATGACAGAAATTTTGACCAGAAATGTCTTCAAAACCAAGCAGCTCACACCAAAAGAATTACTTCAATAAATACCACTAGAGCCCAGAGGAAAAGTATGTCTGTTTGCTTCTTGGGGGTGAACTGTCCATTTAAGCATGCTATTGATTCCAGAAATAAAATTTTAACTCACTTTTTTTCTCCGCTTGCTTCTGCAGAGACATCTCTGAAACAGCCCTTGCCTCTTTGCCAGACTCGATCCTTGGAGGCCTCAAGAGGCTGATCGCCGAGTCAGCCTTCAACCTGAAAGAACTTCCTCCTCTTCAGCTCTTTACCAAACTGCGCCAGGCAAAGCTGACATACCCATCACACTGCTGCGCCTTCCTGAACATGCACCGAAACAGGTACGCGTGCTCTGCCAGTCAAAAGACACCTGAAGATGTTTTTTTGGAAATTGTATGAGATTTGGGGGAAGTTGCTTCTTCACTTTGTTGCAAAGAGTTACCTGGTAGGATTGAAACCACTCTTACTGTTTATTAAATGTGGCACTACAGTGTGAACTGTCTGTGAAGCTTACATTCAGTCGCTTCAATCCAGTGGCTCTCTCACTGTGGGGTATAAAGACTACAAAAAGGCTGGGAAAAAAGCTATGAAGTGAAACTAAATTTAATTGGATTTTCTTTTGTAAGCGAAAATATAACAAACAAGATTTTTGATGCTGTTTTGGATCATAAATAATAATGTGGGCTGTTAGGCGTGAAGCATTTTTGCCTTTTGAAGTGAGGCATGCCAGGAAAATGTTGGGAGACACTGGGATGAGCCCTTACATGGACGTACACAAATGTGTGGGTTGGTTTGTTTTATGGTCTTTTCAAAATCCTATTTGTCCATTTCTGGTTAAATGCCACTGAGTCAACAGCTCAAGCAGTTGCTGAAACAAAACTCATTTACTTTGTTCCTGTGTTGTCCACTTTGTGTGTATTGTTGTGTACTAGATCGGGATGGCACTCACTGTGCGACAACCCCGAGGCTAAAAATAACCTGCACTTCTTTAGGGAACACTGCTCCAACTCCACCTCCATCACCTGCAGCCCAGCCCCTGATGACTTCAACCCCTGTGAAGATATAATGTCTGCTGCCCCCTTACGCATCCTCATCTGGATCATCTCTGTCCTTGCCCTGCTGGGCAACACAGTAGTTCTCCTTGTATTATTAGGTATGTTATGTAATTAAAAGGTATTTGGATATTTATGTCTAGAACACCTAAATAAATATTTCTCCAGCTCCATCACTGGAACTGACAGATCTTCAGGCCTTTCTGGTTTAAAGTAAACCCAGGAAAACTTTTTAATACATTGTTTACCTTCTCAGTTAATCTATTTTATCAGAGACCATTTCCTGAAACCTGACCAAAGACTTTTTCCCCGAAACTTAACCAAAATGTATGAAAGCGTGTTTCTGCCACTTTATTTGGCTATAATTTAACATTTTTGGCTATTAACTCCATTTTCTGAATTAGGTATCTCAAACATTTGACTTACTCAGAAGTTTTAGTTAGTAAGTCAAAACCTTGAGATGCGTAATTTAAATATTTGAGACAATAGCCTTAAATTTTGAGATATTTTGAATTTGGGTGTTGTTAGCAGCGAAGGCAGGAGGAACCCAAGCTGTGGCTCTGCTGCTCTGATCAGTCTGCAGTTACACATATCTGTGTGAAATACGCTCGGATGCCCTGTGGGTTCTGAAACCTTTCCTTTCATGTGCAGCATAGGTTTTGGGGAAACTGTAGCCATTCTGAGGGATTAGACACATGGACTAGCCATCCTTTGCCATGGGCCTCGAAAAGCCTCAGGCGCACCTCACAGGACACGCAGTTTCAGAAATGCTCTAACCCAGCTGTTTAGCCATGACAGTTTACTCCAAATTGTCTGGAAACTTCCTTTTACTTACCCACATTTCACGTTTCCAAAGCAGCGAAATAAAGAAGTGACTGCCCATTTTCTGCTTAACATATCCTACAACCCCATTAAAGGTGCTAATGCCATTGCTACCATGTTATTCACCCATTTAATATTTAATGTTATGGCTCATTGGTACTTTGGATCTGCTAAGTGGATTTTATTGCTGATATTTATTTATTTGTCTTCTTTATCTGTGATCAGGCAGCCGCTATAAGCTGACTGTTCCTCGATTCCTCATGTGCCACCTGGCCTTTGCTGACCTCTGCATGGGCATCTACCTGGTAGTCATTGCAACCGTGGATATGCTCACACGTGGACGGTACTACAACTATGCTATAGACTGGCAGATGGGCTTGGGCTGCAATGCTGCAGGCTTCTTCACGGTGTGTATTCATCACATCACATCACATAGTGACAACGCTCATTCAAGCATGTGTTTGAATTGTAAAGTAGCGTGTCTGTGTGTCATTTACAGGTGTTCGCCAGTGAGCTGTCAGTGTTTACCTTAACAGCAATCACCGTGGAGCGCTGGCACACCATCACGCATGCTCTGCGACTTGACCGCAAACTTCGCCTGAGACACGCTTGCATCATCATGACAATAGGCTGGATCTTCTCCTTGCTGGCTGCACTGCTGCCCACAGTTGGGATCAGCAGCTATGGCAAAGTGAGTGTTAAATTTCACCACTACATGCTGATACAATTACTACAAGGTGGTAACCAACCATCACTCTACTTTTATTGCTCTACTACTTTTACTACTACCGGTACTCCTAATACTGTAGGTGTCTGCTAATTTAGCCTGCCAGTCCATAGTTTATATTGTTGAATTATGTCAAGACCCCCGAATACTGTTTATTGTTTTTATTTCTTCATGCAGGTGAGCATCTGCCTCCCCATGGATGTTGAGTCCCTGGTCTCCCAGTTCTACGTGGTCTGTCTTCTCCTCCTCAACATCTTGGCGTTCTTCTGTGTGTGCGGCTGCTACCTCAGCATCTACCTCACCTTTCGCAAGCCTTCATCAGCGCCAGCCCACGCCGACACCCGTGTGGCTCAACGCATGGCCGTCCTCATCTTCACAGACTTCATCTGCATGGCTCCGATCTCTTTCTTCGCCATCTCAGCTGCCCTCAAGCTGCCTCTCATCACCGTCTCAGACTCCAAGCTACTGTTGGTGCTATTCTACCCCATCAACTCATGCTCCAACCCCTTCTTATATGCCTTTTTCACCCGTAACTTCAGAAGGGATTTCTTTCTCCTCGCAGCTCGCTTCGGGCTGTTTAAGACTCGAGCGCAGATTTACCGGACAGAGAGTTCCTCGTGTCAGCAGCCAGCGTGGACCTCTCCAAAGAATAGCCGTGTTATCTTGTATTCCTTGGCCAATACGCTAAGTCTAGATGGAAAACAAGAGTGCTGACTTTTACCCACATTTACAGGTATGGACTTTTTGCCTTGATTGCATATTATATCGATACAAACAGGCTGCTAATTCCTTAAAATGATGCCTCAGATCATGAATTTCGATTACTACCTGGGAAATTTTTTCTGTCTTCTTAGACCAGAAAGATCTAAGAAAAAACACAAAATTCAACCAAGTGAAAGGCAAAAGAGCTGAGAACTCATTTTTGACAATTTGACCCAGGAGTCTGCAAAACACAGTGATTGTTAAAATAAACAATGCTCTTGCTCTTGCTTCTGTTTGTGCTCCTAATCTGATTCTGTGTTTATTGGGCTTGAGCCAGTGAAGGCTTCCACTGAAGACTGCGCTTCGGTTAATAAATAGCATCCAGAGACCCAGCTCTCAACAGAAGTGATGATCCTCCATATAAAGATCTGGGTCAGTTCAACAAAGAAGTTGATGCTTGTCTCTGTGCAAGTCTGAGATCTCTGTTAGGGATGTACATGTGTGGTCAAGATTAGACTTCCAGGCCATGAGACCAGAGGTGTACAAGTCACAAAAAGCTTTTTATAAAATTATATTTATATGTCGCCACAATCTGAGCAGTTCAGACCCAAGAGAAAGCATGCATACCTACCATGTTTTCACCTCTCCTTTAAGGTTACACATAAATCACCATGTTTCAATCATAATAGTATCAGCTGACTATTCAGCACAAAGTAGACACAGTGTTCAGTGGCGTGTCTAAACTTGGTTACCTGAGCTATGCACTGCAGCAATCCATGCAAACATGACCACAAAAGAACTAATTATACACTCACTGGCCACTTTATTAGGTGTACTTGTTTGGCTGCTTGGTAATGCAAATACTTAATGAGCCAATCGCATGGCAGCAGCTCAGTGCATTCAGACACATAAACTGGGGCATTTTCAAGATTTTTTAAATGTGGTGGCATGGCAGAGACCAAGAATACAGTAGAGGGGGGAATTTAAATATTTGATTTGCAAAAAGATCAGAAAACTGACAGAAATTATTGGGTATGATTTTTGGTGTGCAACCCTGTGTTTTTTATTACAAGTTTATTGTGTGAAAAGTGGTGGAAAAAAAGTATTTAGACTTAACCTAAGTAAAAGTTGTAATTACACTTAAACAGCTTAATAGTTCACAAGTTATATAATCAAAATGTATTCAAAGTGCCTAAAGTAAACACACTCTTTATATAGAATGGCTATTTTTTTCTCGTCTCTTTAACGAGGCAGCTGTTGATGAGTTTGATTCCTGATATATTGTTCAATAGGTTCATTTATAAAACAAATACAATTAATGTACAAAATAAAAAGAAGCTAAGCTTTAAAATGAGTATTATGTAGTATGAAATTATAACAATTGTATCCAAAATAAAATGGAATCAAAAGCGGAAAGTAACATAACAAGGAAGCATTTAAATAAAGTACAAGTACAATAAATCTCTGCTTCAGTAAATTACTGGAGTAAATATACTCACTTACATTTCTAATTGTTGATACCAAGCTTTCATCCAATGGTGTTGACCATTGCAAGATTACTAAAGGGGGGGGATGCCACTCCAAGCTCCTCCCCCTCTAAACATGCCTCTATGTAAACGTAATCAAGACAACCTGCTAAAGTCCAAAATGAGCACCAGAATGGGAAAAAGGTGATTGGAGTTAATTTGATAGTGTCATTGTTTATGGAGCCAGATGGTCCCACATGTCGCCACAATCTGCTGGCCGGACTGCAAACTGATAGGATAGCAACATTAACTTAAATAACTTCTGTACAATCAAGGTGTGCAAGTTATGTAAGAAAACTGGGCATTGCTTAGTCTGATAACTCTTGATTTCTATTCTGACGTTCTTATAGTAGGTTCAGAGTTTGATGTAACGGAGCAAACTGAGTCACAAAGCTCAGATCATCTAAAACTGATTTCTTGAAAATGAAAAGGAGTTCACCACAGTCACCACATTTCACTCCAGCAGAGCACCTTTGGGATGTAGTCAAATGGGAGATCATCATCACCAGTGTTGGGTAAGTTACTTTAAATTAGTAACTTAGTTACATTACTAGTTACTTCTATCAAAAGTAACTCAATTACTTCAAGTTACTCGTTACTTTCAGAGTAACTAGTTACTAGGGAAAGTAACTTTGGTTTTACTCAGAATTCTCTTGTTAATGTGTTGCTTCCGTAACTGGATACCCAGCAAGATTGCCAGTCTTCTAGCTTGCTTACTTGCCACAAGTGCACTGTGCCACCTACCAATAGAAAGGAAAAAATAATGTGCACATTTCCACAAGAGAAATCCCACGCCTGATTCTATCCTAGCCTGCTTTTCACATCCAACACGAAAACTGCAGTTTCGATTGTACTCAGAACTCGGAAATTCTGCCTTCTGAATAGGAAGATGTAGGTAACACCAGACTGAAGATGAGCTGCATACAGGGCTGGACTGGGACAAAAAAATTGTCCCGGGCATTTTGACTAGAGACCGGCCCACCATTATAGGAAAAATCATAAAGCCTTTGAATGAAAATAAACACTGTTGTGACAGTGATGTACACTGTTCTGATGGTATATATGTATCAATCTATCAATTGTTTGTTGCAAGACTCAGATAATTATTTTTTTTTAAAGTGAGACATTTTAAATGAGAATAAGAAAGTATTTCTTTGTGCCCCCCTTTCCCTTTTAATGCCCTACATGCCGATCAGCTGATCATTGATCAGTTTCATTGAAGTATAAACAGGAGAGGGAGGGTGAGAGGATGAGAGAAGAAGAGGCAGCTGTGCGGCGTAAACACAGAATAACTCCAGCTTTGTGTCTTTTTCATTGTAGCTGAAGTCTGGGAGAAACTGTTCCTTTTCACCTCAATACGAAACGCGTAATATTTTCTCTGAATACGAGATGATTCCGTTTTTTACGGGACGGTTGGCAACTCTAATAATTAACCTTATGAACAAAATAAAGTTCAACATCATTAACTTCATAGCACCCACCCAGCTGTATAGAAACTCCGTCATGCTAGCTAGCACGCAGTACGAAAAAGTCAGCATAACGAAAATAAACTCCACCTAAACTTGGTTCATATCTGACCCAGATGGACTGCAGGTTATAACTTCTTACCTGAAGTTCAGTTCACCTGACACTCTCGGACCAGCGGCCGCTTCGGGTCTCTCCTCCTGCCTCCCTTTTTCTTCATCCACTTGCTGGCTTTCTTCATCCACTTGCTAATGTTATTGAATCTGTGGAAGCTCCGCGATAGCCACCACACGAAGTAATGAATAACGAGCCTATCTAAATCCCAGTAACAAGTAACGCGTTCCCGGTTTTGGCATAATAACTAGTTACCGTGCTCGTTACCACAATAATAACGTAGTTACTGTAACGCGTTACTTAATAACGCGTTAGTCCCAACACTGATCATCACAGATGTGCAGCTGATAAACTTGCAGCACCTGTGTGATTCTATCACATCAATATGGACCACAATCTCTGAGGAATGTTTCCTCCACTCAATTCCAGTTGAATTTCTTTTAAAAATTAAGACAGTGTGAAGACAAAGGGGTGTTCAACCTAGCAAAATGTACCTAATAAAGTAGTTAGTGAATGTAGTTGGACTAAATCTGGGTCAAACAGCTCTTCTAGACACCCATGGGTTCCTTTTAACTCAAGTGACGTGCCAGATGGGTGGCAGTAAAAGAAGAAAAGAATGGAGGGGGGAGAAAACTAATGACTTCATCTACTATGTAACAAACACCATCCGTCTGGCATCCCGAGATAATCTAACAAACTAAAATGCTCCAGAATGGTTTTTAAGCAGGTTGGATGCTTGAGATTTCAGCATATGCACACTGCAAAAAAACATATTCATTCAACATTCAGTGCTGTGATTGAATGATATTCATTAAGAAGAACACTGCAGGGACCTGCTGATTAACAATCTCCTCATACACCCAGTCTACTGAACCTCTCAATGTCTACAATTTGCCACCAACTCTGTCTATTTTGTAAGCCACAGACCTGTAATTATCTTTGAAATGTAATTGTGTTTACGTTTTCAAACAAACATCCCATTAAGTGTCACTTTTGAATCTGTTTTTCTGAAGAATATTTCAATGTGCTGTTTTTTACACTATTTTATAAAGTGTTTTATTATATCCTCTCTGCTGGAATAGAATTTGTATGATGAATGTGAGCGTTCGAAGAGGCGTGACAAACAGAAAAGCTCTCTCTCAGACACACACACATATGCGTGCAATAATTGAGCTGTCTTTATCTAGCAATGCTGTCCTTCAGAGCATCCAAAGCTTTCAAGGACAAAGTGACCCTCCCAACCTCTGCTCTGTGCAGCAAAGTGGGTGGGTGGGCGTAGGAGGAGAGGTACGCAGCTGCTCTTTCTGCTTATTACGGGGGGATGGATATAGCAGCTAGATAAGCTGTGCGCGCACGCACTACACACACACACACTAGCAACCCACACTCTCAAGGCTGCAGCTGCAAGAAGGAATCCAAGACCATCTCATTGATATGGATACACTGCCTCCTACATGCCAACATTCAAAGTTAGGGTGCAATTATACACTTTCACCACCAGGTGATGCTACTGGGGCTAGATTTCTGGTGAGTTTACCTCCATCTGTGTGCACAAAAGTCCAAATAAAATCACCAGTCTCAATAGATCCTACAAATTTTGCTCGATGTTGTCTTACGACAAAAATAAATAATCAATCATTATTTCCTAATTTGCTTTTTTTTTTAAATAACTTTTTATTTCTACATAATTTTCATAAAAGATTATATCAAGTCCTGCATGAAGATTAATGCTCATCAGACAGTTACCTGTCCCCTACATACACTGTATGTCTTCTTCATTTTTATATCATATCATATAATTTTTAGTAAGTAAAAGATAAATAATTTTAATGCATTTGCACTCAAATTTATGTGCACTAAAAAAAAGTGAGTGTTGCAATACCGAAAGACATGCCGTTATGCTCTCTGACATCTTCTCTAGACAGCACTGGAGACGGTATAACAAAACACCCTCGGTATAAAGCCTTCAAGTTCAAGACTAATCGTTGGCAGATAAACAATGCCCTCTGGTGGTCGTCGTGCATAATAAATATACAAGTTAAAGCGTTAAAGTTGTATTCCAATCAAAATCTGTAATTTTGTCAGTGTCCATTCACTCAATTCCAGTGGGCTTAGAAATGTGGCTGCAATGTAAAGTGACTGTAATTGTACTTGAATTTATGGATGCAAAAGAAAAAAGTGTA